AACCAAATACCCAGATTGTAAAAGTACGAAACACGCACGATAGGGAAAGAGGAACTTTTTGACAGTTTTGTTCCCAGAGGCAAAGTATAAAAGTGAAGTACAGCGCGCAAAATAAAGTGAAAAAGTGAAATAACTTCTACTAATACGAATTTCGAAATCTTTACGATTTATCTTGTAGAAGTGATATTCGCACAAGTTAACGAGGCGCACCCAACGGAGACTAATATTTTTTCATTACCTATTCTGTGCATATTCTAACACGAAGGTAGGGAATTAATCCAATCATGTATAGTTTACTGACTAACCAAACAACATTTACTGACTAACTAAACAATAAACAAGAATACGTGTACATACATATTGTTTTACTAACAGGTCAACATTAGGTGGTAATTAAAGAGTAAATATATGAAACGGAAACTGCTGCTAACACATTGAACACCAGGACAGTTGCTGATGGACTCGAAGCACATAAACTTTCTTCAAATCAACAACACAGCTCAAAAAAAGATAAAAAAAGCTCTACTCTATTGTCGTCTGAAAGGTTGGAACAAAAGTGACCAAAATTATCACAAAATAACTAAAGGCTACGTGACTACACGAATCAAACTAGCATTTCGGCTAATATTAGCACTCTAGACTCAGTGGACCTTTGGGCAGTACCAATTAATGAACTGTGTGAAAGTTTCTACTACTAGATCAATGTCCTTCCTTTATCTACCTGATTAATTAATAACGCTTGGAGTTGGAAATCACAACTCGGTGTAGATTTCCAAATAAACTTTTACAGAATAGGCATACAAGTCTCAGTTGAAGAGCAATTCAAATGCTTTGTACTTATTAAATTATTACAACTTTTAATCGGCCTATTAAAAGAGTATTCACTTTTTCTAAAGCTTAAGACGATTTTAATCGTTAGTATAATAATAAATCACTAAGTTTGCAAGAATTGATGAAAGAAAGTGTGAACAGCGATGTGTGTATTGTGCTTTTGCGCAGATGAGGGAGAATAATGCATCTCAGGAAAAACTCTGTGGACCTTCGCGGCGTAGGCCACTATGTTGCAAGAATTAATGATAGAATGAAGTGTGAATAAAGATATGTACTGTACCTTTATGCACAAGAGTTGAAACTCGCCGTCAATACACTAATGTAAACTCGACTTCACCAAGCACGCAGAAAATGTTATCTAACACGAAGTTCTTCTCGCCGTAAGCATCAAACTGTCACTGAACTACTTAATACGTCGGGTACCTATCAAATTCTCTGTACCTTGGCCTTGCGGGCGTCGACATGCGTTTCATGTTTCACAATTCCTGTGGTAATGCTAATGGACCTGCATATATTTATTGTTTACTGTATAAGGATCAATTGAAAGTTGAAGTGGAGATAAAGCTACTTATTACACGACAACTCCCTTTGTTTCTGGTTGTTTATGATTACGAGGGCGGAGTGTCAAGAAGGATTGAACCGATATAGCAGTAGTTCTCTCTTGTATTTATGTAATTACTACTCGGACATGAAAAAGCCCATTGTTATTTTCTTTTATGTTGATCATTATGCTGTTAAGTTCAAGGAATTGAAGCAACTTAACTTAACTTTCTTTTTGTTTTCCTTTCTTTCTATTCATTTGTTCTTTCAAACTAAGTAACCGTTTTTATTGTAATATTAAACCATTATTTTGTAAATACTAATGTAATAATACTTTTGTAAATACATGCATGTCTGCAGATTGTACTATATATATATATAATGATAATAATTTTATTCATACAAAATATATATATATATATATATATATATATTTAACAAATATAAAACATTTTCCGTGTTGATATACAGTTATATCAACACGAGTGGAATTGGGAAAACGAGAAATTATATGGAAACACGACGCCCGAAGGGCGGAGTGTTTTCATACCATTTCGAGTTTTCCCAACTTCCACGAGTGTTGATATAACTATATATCAATACGGAAAAAATGTTTTATATTTTTTTTATAATATAGCAATGTCAAAAGCCGGAAGGTAAGAAAAATTTCCGTGTTTACAAGTGGCGGAAAATTTCCCGTGTTGACATCGAGTTATATCAACACGGCTCTTAGCCAATCAGCGTTCAGAATTTACAAATGCTGTATTATAAATATATATATACTATACCCTGTAAATTCATTTAGATTGCTCTGAAGATGTTGTATTGTAAGCTAAGGATCTTCAATGGTCTATTATTTGGCAAATTATGGTTGTGCCAATTTTTTACTTGCTCCGGTTGGTCACTGCCACAGTTGGGTTCATAATGAAATTTAGTATCCTCTTACAAGCTATAGTAGGATAGAATGAAAATAAGATCTGGGGCGTTAAAAAGTTAATGGACCCATCAAGGTAAGAGGATCTTGTCATATTTCGGGATTAAAGCAAAATTGTACGACAACCACGTGATCGTGAGATTTTCTCCTAACATGACCTTGGCATTTGATTGAACCACGTGACCGTGAACTACCTTCCCATGATGCTCTGCGCAGACTGCGCCTATGTTGGTTACAGGCAAGAATGAGATAGTATATAATATTTTTAACAAAACTTTATTTTCCGCCCGGAACATTAATTGCTATACAGGATTAAAAAGATTATGGAAGAAATTGAACCGCTAAATAACAGGGACAAGACTCCGCAAATCATAAATAATAGCACACGATAAACCCATTCTTTAAAACTGAATTAAATATTTAAGAAAAGATAAAAGCGCGGTGAGGATATTTAGAAATCGAGTGAATGCTGCCCACTTCTTGTCGAAATTATTCAGTTTATCGGAAACATATTGCTATAAAGTAGAGCAGGATGTTGATGCATTGTACATCACAGTTGGAATAAGCGAATTATACGCCTTATAAAATGACTGATATGTACTAAATGGAGAACAAATGGAATATTAAATATCCAAGGTCATCGGCTTTTGCGGTGAAGTTGCATGATAAGAACACTGAATGAGTTGTAGAAATATCAGCTCAAGTTTAATTTCGTTTTAAATGGACTTAAAAATAGTTGTGGTTTAGTGATTTTATTGATGGAGAATCTCCATGTATTGATTTGAAGCACAAGATGGCGGGCACTGTACAATGTTGGCATTGATCCATGTCCTACTGCTATTCTTTCCAGAGTAAAACCAGTTAGGACCACCAAGACATATTCACGCTGTTTAGAATATCACAAACAAGACTGGTTTCAATAATTTCAGAACTAAGACCACTCCTCCCTGCAGCGGGAATCCTATATCCTCGAAATTTTTTGGGAAAATCTTTCAAAAACAGAAACACTGTACTCTTGAGAAGTCAACCCAAAATATGTATGAAAATAATCCCCAATTCGAAGCTTTAACAACTGGAAACAATCTATCCCCTAAGGCTAAGGGATTGATCCTATATGGCTATATTTTCTATTTTGTTTTTTTGGATGTAATTGCCGGGCGGAAATACAACAGAGTCAAATTTAACAGTCTAATGAGTAATGTTTTGTTAATTGCAATCATTATGAAATAAACACCCAATATCTTATAATTAGTTTCTGGAATTCTTAACACAGACTTTCTCGTTTGTGCTTCAGTGAAGCATCACCAATTAAACAATTTACTACAATCGCAGAGCAGGAAGTAAAATGTGAGAAAATAACTGTTTGAAGAGGATTATACTGGGGGCACTTCTACCCGAAAATCGCGAATCATGCGAGGAATGGTGATTTTGCAGAATTCTGCTTCCTAAACAAAGCTTTACAACATAAACCATCGATACCAACAACCTTCGGTTAAAATAAACACACAAGGAAATGGAATAACGTTTTGATCACTTTTATTTGAAGAAAAAAACGTTCGTACTATTTAAGTTATTTATGTCTTTAATCCGTATTTGTTGGGTTGAACTTTCTCTTCAAAAGCTGTGGTTGTCCGAAACGGACTCATAGGTCGGGTTACATTTATTTTTGCTAAATTGTGAACATACTAGAACGGGTACACAGCGGCCCAATGCATGTTGAAAGATGCCATTAATGCTTTTAGCGCGCAATGACGCATTAATTCTCCTTCCCGCTGAGAATAACATTTGCATAAATCGCGCGCGTCCGCTGCAAAATATACAAGAGTACAACGATTGATCAAGCAATTCATCAAATTGCTTCGGTTGATATTTTATTTGAATTGAACGAATTTAGAGCATCTTTGGCGGCATGACTAGTAAATTGAGAATTACAATATACTTCCATCGGCTTGATATAGTCTCATTCCGGATACGGCTGAAGTTCAATTGAAATGATGAAAATCTTAAACGTTCTAATTATAATACAGCATTATATAGCGCAGAATTATGCCACACAAATTTAGTTTATGCTTTGTAGGAGACCGTCAATTAATGCGAACAGCATTTCGCAATAATTGTAAATCTAATTAATTTGCTAACTTTTCGGTATTAACTGTAAAAATTATATTTATAACCTCTAGTCCTCAGAGTCAGAGAGGCGTGAAACGTAAGTTTTTGAGAAAAATGAAGATGTATAGGTAATAAAAATTAATGCGATACAAATAAGAGGGTGAAAACGAAAGGTTTATATAGAATAAGCATATAATATTACTATAATAGTAATACGAGTATAAATACTATCAATTTTCAAGTGTTAAAATTGCGCGCTACCTTTTAGTATTATAACTACTGTATATGTTATATACTATATAGCTATAATCAATGGCTCGAGCAAAATATAATGGCATTGCTACTGGCCGCTACTCGTACTATTACGATTACTTATAATACTAATAAGCCTAATAATGCTATGAATCCCTTTTAATGGCATGTAAAAATTGTGCGCGTTTCAATAAAGTTTTAACACAAAATGTAATTGTTATCTATTTTATCAGGGCTCCACTAAAAATCACTTTTGTGAGTGGACCCCCTGACTAAATATTGTAATTATTATTATTATTAATGATAAATATCTGAAATTTTCGCAACTGGTCCTTGTCTAATAAATATACACAATCCACACACGAAATTTCCATCTACAATATAGTTATCTAATCAGTCCTTACCTTCTGTTTCGTCTTGTCGTGCTTCAGACGTGTCGAGTAACGGCTCTGCTTGACCCTTCAAAATGTAAATGAAAACTCATTCAATGAAATTTTGAAATTGTCTTTATACATTAACGACGTCAGATTGACTCATATTTTTAGTCCAACTACGTAATCATGCAGAGCGGATGTTAACAGGACTCACATGCAAGTTGGGTGTAGACCATAACAAGAGATTTAAATTCACTCGTTGAACGGACATTGGATTAGGTTTCGTTAAAAAGCAGATGGAACAGAACTTGACCTTTAGATCAACCTCGATAATATGTACCAAAGGTTGGGGAGTTTGCTAACAGATAGGATTTATTATAGATTATATCATAAATGTCCAAATGTCACAAATGTCCCGCCCCGTCCCCATCAGGATTAACGCTCTTGCTTCAGAAATATAATGAGTGTGCATCCAACACCGGGCAAGCTGAAAAGTTCGCCTGATCACGGTGGGAAACGAACCCGCAACCTTTGGGATACTAGTCGATCACAAACATCGTATTCACCTCAGTACACAACACCATCACACACACAAGAAAAATATAATACGTGCTGGGATCAGATTTATTCTTGATTCTCAAACGGGCGATGCCAGTGTGGGAAGACGACGACAGATATAGTTAAGATATGAGAGAGATACAACACACAACTACATGAAAGATATGAGCGAAACTTCGATGCTTCGAGCGAAGGCTCTTCCTCAAAACTGATTAATATTTGCTTGTCATTTCGCAGAAATGTATAATTCTGTAGTTTGTCAAAATCAGCCAGTCAATATCATAGACTTTTTCTATGACTTTGTGATGACGTTTCAAGCGAGACCTAAAGCCTTTATGTTTTCAAGACCATTTATTGCAACTTAGTATAATATGGGGTTTTCAACCAGTTCTCTACAATCCGAAACAGATTATTCTGTGTGCATAACACCACAGGAGGCCATGGGTGCACCTCATATCACATGAGATTGAAAAGTAATGAACATATGGCCACATTCACAGATTAATTGATATTTAAATTAATCTGTGATATCTGATTCCCTAGAAATTATCTAGGAAAATTCTAGGAATTTTACCCTCGCCTACTATACAGATGTCCAAAGGTGGTAAGTTATTATCGATTGAATCCATGTCTAATCAAACTTTATCAACTCCGGAAACCTTATACGTATATAATTGGCACGATTCGAAAGTTGTATAAACTTCCTGTTCTGAAACATACTGAAACGGGACGATTTGTTCCGCCAAGAAATTGTTGGCGGTCATCAACTGCATTCACAACACCACAGTTAATGACCAGGCGACGTTTAAAGCCCCGGTCCAACCAGGATGAGATTTATGAGAGTTGGCAGTCACGAACGAATGTTACACGGAGGCTCATGACCAAGGTCGTGCGACCATCAACCCCCTTGTTATAATCTGTCAACAATTAGTTGGTTTGATACATGTGATCACAAGACAAGGGAAGGTCCCATCTACACGATTCGTAACATGGCACATTTCAAATTTCGCCATAAACAGATGAAAACGTGAAAGAATGTTCGGTATATATAGATATCTAACTAACATACAGCTACAAGAACTGAAAATATGAAAACATCTACTACTGGTTTACAAGATTTCTGTGTGGGAGTTACGATAATCATCTTGAATTATAATAATACACTTAATACTCATCTTAAATTATGATAATACTCATCTATCTATAGGCACAGCTTACGCCCTTTCGTCTAGTCCTCTCGGCCATACCTTTTTCTTTTTTTTTAATTTTTGTTGGTCTGTAATTTGTCACTAACTTTCACTAAAGGGCCCATAGGAAATGGTGTAAACTGTTGTGGCGTTCCCCGCCTCTTGTTCTGTCTCATGCATGTATATATGAATTGTTGTACTTGTATTGTGTACGCGCTTTTTTTTCAAGGCGAAGCTAAATAAATAAATCCCCCCACCATAAATTTCCCTCGTTCTGAAACGATTTCTGCCAATGCATAGACCAAATCATCAGAGACAGATGCAAACTAAGGATTTTCAGTACTTATAAATGAATGAAAAGCTGGCAAAGAATAGTCCTTGATATATCAAGGCACTATATTACTAAAACACACTTATACAGGCAAGCACGTGAAAAATGTCTTAACAATTGTGCTTAACATAAAGATAACAGTAAAGATTTTGGAAAATTATCTTCCGCAAAATGTTCTGGAAGATACTTCAAATTCTACAGATTTGTTTGGTAAATTGCCCAGTTGATATTCATCATTGTACATTGTACAGCGCCGTTCCCACCTTTAACCCTTTTTGGAGCGACTGATTTTACAACCACGCAAAAGACCACGCAACTGTCTCAAATTCACTTTCTATTCTCATTTCCTAAACTCCATATTCAGTTCTGTATCAAAGTGACTGGGCCTTCGGGGCAATCAATGGATTACATAACAGATATTGCGAGGGTTTATAAAAATAGGCAATCCAAATTAAGCGTGCTCTTGTGCGCTCAATATTGAGTGCATAGATTTAATTTTTTATATTGATAAAGATTAGGATTGTGGCATTTGAATGACACTTTGTTTGCAATCGTTTCAAGCAAAAGCTGATCAAAAATTGCCGGTCAAAATCACCTTCTGTTTTCGTGTTTGTTAATTCCCTTTTAATCATACAAGAAAGGTATAATTGTAGGGCAGCGAGAAGGCAGAATTTTGTTGCTATGTAAAAATGTTATCGGTAAACTCACACGAATATGCTAAAGTTAGATTTTCTTTTTATACACCCTGTATAATGCTGTATAATCGGCCAAAATATGACGGATTATAACACGCGATACTCAAGTATGCTTGTATATTATTATATATTCAGAGATTTTCCCGCAAAACAACCAAACAAAGACGGTACTAAACAATTAAACAAAGTCTTTAATTGACTACTTACAGAATGACTTTGCCAACGAGTGAATTTTAGGTACAGATTTTCAAACTAGCTCTTTGTTCAACCAACTTTCAACAACAATGTGCAATAAAACGCAATTTATATAAACAACTGAATTTAAACTCTTTATTCAACCAACTTATATATGTGCAACAAAATGCAAGCAAAGCCCCTTTCCCGTTAAGGCCATCGGGGTTTCCCAATAGGTAATGTTCCTATTATAGAGTAACTGAGTGACTTTGAACTGAATTGCTGAGTGAATGCATTTTGTGCTGAAATGACATAAAATGGGCAACGAAGCATGTCGTACTATACTCAGTAACTGTCCTCAGCAATATATGGCTTTATAAAGAGGCATCAATTAAAATGAATACATTTATACAGAACAGCTCTTTCAATATTATCACTATCAGACGTACAGAACAATATTTCAAACTTCTATAATTTTCAATGATTTGCATGATATACAAATCGTGAGAATGCGTGGTAAAAAATCTTGAAATTTAATTAAATCTCGAATTAAATGTCACCAATACGTCTCATGCCCCATTGTGATCTTAAAAAATATTCTGTTCATTTGCAAAAAAATTGTAAAACGTCCAATGGGCTAAATGATATCACGTACAGAAACTTCTGTCAGGCTGACATTAACGACGACATGAGCGTTGGTCCTGGACTATTCATGTTTCTGCGCAGATTGTAATTAAGATTGAAGTCACAGCGGATAGCTGGGAAATTCTGGTCAATTCCCACGTGAATGTCAAATTTCCCACTATTAATAATTTACCACATCATTCCCAGAGGTAGGGATTTTCCTCAGCTCAGACAGCAAGCTTTTGCATGAGAATTTCATTCGTGGCCAATTCGGCGGTGAAACATATGGCACAACCCAACTTTAATAGGTATCTTTAAAGGTGTTTGATAATTTCTGTTACGCGTTGCTTTAAAATGCCGATGCTTGGGACAGTATATGCGAAGAATGTAAGCCAGCTTAGGTATCTCCAAATTGTTGGTTCAACAGCGTTGGAACGGTGTTAATTGGTTGAAAATTTTAAATAATGTCAAAACTGACCAAACATCTTCCAACCGATATGCACTATTATACCAAACCATAATAGCACAATGTTAAAAAAATTTGACCCACTCTAAAAGGTGGGCGCGAAGGTGGGTGTTTAAATCTACTGCGAGTGTCTCTTCTGCTCACACAATTTATTTAAGACCCAACCGAATGTTGTATCTAACAATTTATGATGATGCTGGACCAACATTTGTGTTTGAGCCTTTGAAACGGTTGGTTTCCTGAGCGCATTTTTCTAGTATGGATTGGTCTTCAACTGAGCTTAGCCTTAGCAAACAAACTGTATTCAAACAAGCTACCATGTAATATACTGGTAGATTGACTATACAAAACGTACTAAACTTACAGAGAGACTATATAGATTAAACATTACAATACTATGTCTATAGTTATAATTGATCAAAATTTGTTAGGACGTCAAAGCAATGATTTGTCTTTCATTGCAATAAGATACATAAACAAGTCATGATTAGCTCGTGATTCAGTAAAACCGGTTATTTACTAGGAGTCACCCTTCAAAATACTGGTCAAACAAGAATGTTTGTTGATGAACTCTCGTTCGCGTTTGATTGCCAAGTCGACTCTCCTGTATTGCGTCATCAAATCTCATGATCAACTGTGAGCTTGTTCAAATTCTGATTTGACGCGAGAGTTTTTGCTATACGCGCGGCAACAACTCTCAAGCCTCAGGGTAAAGATTGTTCTCGTTTGACAGGCACGTGAGAAAAGTCGACCATGCAGGGCTGGCAAGTGAATTGCGACAGGCAAATGTTCAATTTCTCATGTTGAAGCCCCACTGAGGATCAACTGCACACAACCAATTCGGCAATTTTTTACTTTATTAAACCATATTTCATCTCAACGCTTACCCTAAGCCAAGGGCTAAGGCTAAGAGCAAAATTTGCTAATCAAACTAGAATGATGTGGTATAAAATAATTGGTAGATTTTAGTAAGATTTGTACAAAAGATGGTGAGAAAGTGTTCGGCCATTTTCACTCGGATCACTCCAGTAGAAGTCTTGTATTTGATTTGATTGGTATTAAGTTAAGAAAGTGTAATTTGCTTGCTCGTATTGAAGTCCAGGTCAAATGAGAACAAGAGTTACACGAGAGTTAATGAAAGTTGACTGACATTCTCGAATGGTCTGTATACCATGTGTGGGTAGTGGAAATAAAAAGAAATCTTGGGATTGATAATAATAATAATAATTTAATAATTTATAAAGCGCTTTTTCCATATAATGATCAAAAGCGCTGTATTACAATATAACTAATGTTAAAAGCGTAATAAAATGTTGAAATGTTAACTTTAATATAAACTAAATACTAAAAGCTAGTTTAAAAAGATGTGTCTTAAGACAAGTTTTAAAAACGCTTATTGACGAAATGTCACGAATTTCTTTCGGAAGTTCATTCCAAAGTTTCGGAGCTGCCACAGTGAAAGATCGGTCGCCAAATGACCGTAAAAATTTACCCTTAGGCTTAGGGAACCGTCTAGCATTATGCTATCATTAGAGCGTAAAAGGTAGTTCCTTCCACTTTGACAACAAGTAGATCTACCATGTAGTTTGGAGCCATTCCATGTAAAGCTTTAAAAGTAAGCAATAGCAGTTTAAAATGGATCCTGAACTTCACAGGTAACCAGTGTAGTTCACGTAATATAGGTGTAATGTGATCGTATTTTCGTGTTGAAGTCACTATTAAATCTTGGAGCGGCGTTCTGAACCCTCTGCAACTTAATCAATTCAGTATTAGGTAAACCATACAGGAGACCATTACAATAATCTACAAGGAGAACTTCGACGTTCGAGCTAAGAACTTCTCGACGAAGGGGCTTCGCTCGAAACGTTGAGTAATTGAGTTCTCCTTATATTTTTCAGGTAGTTGTATCCCTATCAATCCCAACGGCTTTCTTAACCGAATATTAGTCATTACCGCACTTAGCAAAAACTCTCATCATCTGAAATAAAAGATGAAAAGCAACTAGTCGAGAGTTGGCGCGGTGCGCAAAATATCCTTGCCCTTGGCCTTAATTAAATGACACTGAACATTTGTCATTTCTGAAGATGGCCAGGAGCCGTGGTTCCTGGAACCATCAATACATATCTGTCATATGTTCATTCGATATAATAACCCCTAAGCTCAAACCCCGCTGTAGAAATAAGGCATTACATATAGTACCAAATGAAACTACTCGAAAAACCTCAACATACCAAAGAGTTTCCTTGAACAGTTCCACGTGTTTACTTCTTGTGACGTCTCCAGCAATCTGCGTTGAAACCTTGAACCAGCAAACTGTAACCAAAATTATTACTGTTTAGCTTAAAGGTTTACCACTAATACGAATAAACAGTTTATACAAGAACATCCGGAGTTGAACGTATTTACTGTTAAATCAAAATGATCGCAATAATGCGGACAAATTGATCAATCATGCATGCATGCCATCATATTTTTCAATATATACCAAGTTCATTTTAGGATTTACCATCATAAATTGTAACAGCTTTTGGAACAGAACACTAGCATTTTGACACATATAGTTGTAAGGGTTTTCAAACGACAAGGAGTTAAAACGTGCCGAATGTTTGCGTGACATATAAAAGCATGTAAATTTTTAAACACCCTCGCAAAATGATATGCCTTTTAAAGTGGGTCGAATTTTTTCAGACGCGTTATAATTCAATCTATTCTTACGTCTATTCTCAAAAACCTACTTAATTAAACAGTCTTAATACAGTTTAACTATACCTGAGCTTTGATCTACGTCTGTACAAAGCTGACACGACACCGACGCTCCCACGAGCTGAAATGAAAGACTTCCACCCGTGTGTCTTCAAAGAGTATTTAGCATGCAGCTTTCGTTATGCAAATTTCCCAGGCAAGATAACACACGTCTCCCAGGGGAAATCCAGCTTTCAAAAGACAATTTTAAAAATAATTTTTGTCTAATTAATCATTATGACGAACGTATTGATCCTATCTTGCACGTTTTGAAAAGACTTTCTTAGACAGGAAATCGGCACTTGTGTCAGTGTTTTAAACATACAAAGAAATCGTACAATATTTGCTTGGCTTTTTCAATTGACACTGTATTTCAAAAGATCACTTTACGAGTCTTTGAATATGGTTTCCGGAGCGGTTAGTGAACGTCTTGATTGGATTCCACGTTTCTCACATATTTCAGTACATTTTTCAAATGCTTTTGTTTCTCATTTGTTCAACTGGCTCGTTTGAACTCGTTCTGTAACTGACACGCTATACCGCGGAATAGTGTGTCCGGGAATAGCACATTTTGTAAAAGGGTTTTAAATTCACCGTTACACAAATTGAATAACTAGAAGTTAAAAGAAGTAAAAGAATGTGGAACATTATGTTTCGCTATTGCAACCTGTTTTATAGTAAGCATTTCACTCGCAATTAGATACTTCAATCTAGGGAGTAAATATGATTTAACAAGGTCAGGACAATTGATTTAATCCCTACATGAGAATCTTATACATCGATGGGCTGTGTCATCTATTCCCTATATCCTAACCCAACGTGACAATTTTCCTGTGGAAGGAAATCAGAGTACCCGGAAAAGGCCATTGCAGAGGTTTTGAACAAACTATATTCATACGAGTTTCCTGGGCATGGTGTTTGAATGCAAGCCAGAACCCACCAGTGACATGAGTCAGTTTCAAAACTATATCATTCCAGCATTAGTTGCTGTCTAAATAGCTGTGTTGACGATGTATATTACATGGGTGGGTCGATAACTTCAGCCTCCTAACCCACACTATCCAGCAGTGAAAGCGTGGGGGTTTCCAGTGAAATGTGTGAAATGATTTTCACTTTTCCAGAAATGGTCAAAAATAAAGACATCACGTTTCGTCCCAAATTTGCTGTTACATCGCCTTGTTGGAAGCTTTTTAATTCTGCCAATACAACCCCCTTCCATTTCCTGCTTAAAACAAGAAAAGTTTCGGTTTTGCATCTTTATATAAGGCTTGTTTACGCCGTCAAAGTTTCTGTGATCACAGTAGGAATTTTGCATAAGTAAATTCTAAGTTTTGAAGGATTTATAAGAAATGTTTGAGGAAACGAATTCGGTGTTTAATACTAAGTCAGTTCCCTCAAATATTTCTTACAAATCCTTCAAATTTTCCTAGTATGCAAAATCCCTACTGTGACCACAGAAACATTGACGGTGTCAACCTGCCTGAAATATTTGGTACAACGGTGGGACTCGTGAGAAATTTTCCTAGCTATTTAGACCGCCATCGTGGAAAACCGTTGGCATCACCACGCGAAATATTCGGCAACAATCAGAGAGTAACCATGACACAACAACATTGGTGTGAAGGTTGGACAGCGGCCTTCATTGAACAAGGAACTCAACCGACAGGGAACATGTCGTTGTTACAAGTTCCGTAAAGAAAGTCAAGTGGTTAACATTGACTGAAGAGTGCGATATAAACAACTTTAAAAGGTTTCTACATAAATAAGGAAATGAAGAGTTTGCATATATAAACTCCTACTTCCTAGCACATTCTAAAGCCCCGTTGAACCAAGGTCAAATTGTTGGTCCAACATTTTTGGAGGAGACATTGTTGGCCTCGTTTCAATACTATGTTGGGCCATGTTCAATCTCCTCCACAGAGTCGCATAATTAATAAACACGAAAGCTAGCTGTACCCGGAAAATGTAAGGCCTTTCACGTGTTTAACTGTATATTTAACTATATCAACATAGTTACCCTTCGTGTTTAACCATTATGTTTAATTATATATAGGCTCTGCGAAGGAGAGTGGGTAATGTTGGTTACATAATGAAACATTGGTTGAGTCATGAGTTGGATCCGTTTTGACTTTGTTTAAAATTTTCATCCAACATCGAAGGCGCCTTAATGTTGTTCATCATGTACAAATTAAAAACGAGTTCTCATATAAAGTATAATATCATGATTTTGAGAAAACACCAAGTCAACACGATTTGTCCTTGACTTCGCCAGAAAATATTTCCAATTTCACAATGCGCAATTATGTAATTTCAATGTTCAATGATTACAAAAACCCAGCAGGCACCGGATATCATTTGTGAGCACCTCTCAATAAAATAAATTGATTTTCAAAACAAGAACTTCGACTCTACTGAAAACTGAAATGTTAGATGGAATAGATGGAATGAACTTTGATTAAATCCTGTCATTTCTTGTTCAAGATTCTAGTATTTGAAGACAATTGGAATTTTTCCCGAATTGGATTCGAGCATAGCGGTTCGGCACGCGTTTGTCGGCTTATGGATAGATCAAACTGATAGATAAATATATATAATATATAAATGGATAGATTATTCTTTAATCTTTAATTCTTTGAATAACATAATTACCACTGGCGACCTAATCCAGCGATGGGTGGTCAACGGCAAGGCACTAATAAGACACTACCACTAAATGAATATAACTAAACTCGAAAAAAGACAAACAGATAAAAACGGATATAAAAATACTATATACATATACTCTTTCTTAATCTCCAATCTAATGTCGGAAACACATGCAAACTAATAGTAATACCCCGAAATAACCAACAAGTTTCATTGAAATCTAACAAAAGCATAAATGTGCTGAGAAAGCAAGTTTAAAAATCAAAGTCACGCTCCAGGATATTTGTTCACATGAAACACCTGTTGTTTACAGACTCGATACAGTGCGCTAATCCTTAATATTATGATGCAAGTTTTGTACCTGGGAAAACGCTTGAACTGTGGGGTTCCATCTTCGGCTGCACCGTCTCAAAATTTAATCCTTTTTCTCAAAATCGAATCTGAAGATGTAAGCCACTCAGTCTAAAATAGAAAGAACACTTCTCGGTGTTTCAAGCGAAGGGCTCGTCAGGGCTACAGTAACGAATAAACAAACATTTTCGCGGAAAATATTTTCCCGAGGGTACTTGGCAGGGGGGAATTACCAGCGTCTTCTACTAGTAATTATTAACAGCGTTTGATATGGCAATCACAATGCTGCTTTTCAAAGTAACGGAAAAACAAATTCCGTTCTAAAAGGCGTATTTAGTATAGCGGAATGTTTGCTAAAGTTATAAACAAGATTAAAGCCGTGCATGTGGGCAGACATCTGACTTTCACGCCGGAACTTTATATTTTTCTCACAATGCCGAAAGAAATTGCCGGTTTAACCTTGGGAAATTTATATTAAGCTCAGGGGATGTTCATATAGAGCCGGGCTGGCCCGATTAATAAGGCTCTTATCACGGCTTTTGATGAACGTCCAAAACGACATTTTAAAGTTGAATTAGTTTGATTCCAGTATCAAATAAACAGTATATAAAGTGCATTCAAACCATCTTTTATGGAGGAAAAAAATTCATGACAAGATTCATCCAGGCTAGCCGACTCACATGAACAGTATTAATGAAATTTAGGTAAATTTATGAATGAACAAAGCGCATCAAAAACTTAATTAAACTAACACTATGCTGTGAACTGTATTTGAGATATTAATAGAATTTTATGAAGAAGGTCGAACATTACTCAAAAGTGTACATAGTCCACCAGTTTCGAAAGAAAGTGCGAGGCTATGATGCATTATGGGATGATTATTGACGCAATATATCTCAAGATGGATCCAATACATTTGGAATTAACCCATCAATGGTCTTTTTAGATGTAAAAGTGAAACCTCACTAAACTTTAACGATTTTTATTTCCAATATTCCTATATATAGTATTCAAGGAACTAATACCTACGGAATTCTATATAAGTCACACATGCTACTTGTTATCTTTTCAATAAAAACTAATAATACAAATTTAATCTTCATTTTCAGCTTATTCTTAAATTAACCCGGATCAAGGGGTTTCCAGTTAATCTATAGCCTGCACTCAGGTGTGGAGTTGGCTATACCAGAAACCTCTGCAACCGAGGTAATACAATACTATTTCCTTTTAGCTTTTCACTTGAACTTTTTTTGTTTTATAAATTATAGAATCTTGACCAAGGCCATGAAAACTGATTATTCTCATGGGATTTAATATCTGTAACCCATTTGAAATGCGTTGTCTTGCATACTACAGTAATAGACTGTGCTTCAATTCATAAAAAATAACCTACAATAAACTCCAAGGAGTAGCACACAGTCCGCATTTTGCACATGCATTAGTATTTGTTTCTTATAAAATTTCCCTACATTACCCAAACTAACACACATCGGAATGTGGGAAAAATTAATAAATCGAAAAGCTAAGGCATGCATCAGTGTTTGGTTCTTCTAAAAAAATTACCTACATTTAGTACATAGGGATGTTGTATTGATAAATGGGGATGTTAGGGAATTACACGATGGATACACTGGGATCATGAGGAGTCTTCGTCGTCCTTGTATCTTGCCTGTCGGATTTGCATGAGTTTCTTGCGAGCGACTTCCAATTCCCGTTCCTTGCGAATAATCGCCTCTTGCGCCTGGATTTCTTGGGCAATACCGCCGACCCATTTCTGGTTAATGATCACCGTCACGCTTTGTTCCTCGAAGACTCGCGCGTTCTGAGCGGCCTTCACCAGGTCGTCCGAGGCTTTCCTCACCGCTTTCCCAGCACCCTAAAATGTGGAGTTGAGTTAGTGTATGAACGTCACCAAGGCACTTGATTTCATGTTACCTATTGTTTGCCATTGGTGGCTTTCACCATTGTCGAGATAAGCGCAGGAAATTCAGCAAACTTCAAAGCGCCTATAATATATCTAAAGCAAGAACTTCGTATTTCAATGAAGGTGTTTTAATGCCATTTTCCCCAAATGCTTCGTACTCACCTGCAGTCGTTTCTGGCCAGCGCTGTTCGGGTCGGCTTTGACGCGGCAAGCGAGTAAAAGTTGTGCGGTCGAATTTGAAACTTGTTGTGCTGAAGCGATCAATGTTTCTTGTGTGGCATTGCCTTGCACGGTGGCGTTAGCGGCTTCACATAATGAGTTCACAGCTGTCGCTACCAAACGTGCCTACAAATAGTTTATTAATCGGTGGTCAAGTCATCATAATCTACCATACAGCTCTACATAAAGTATACAATAATTACTCACCGCTGACACCAATCCTTGCGACCACTGTCCATCTTCGTTCGGGTCACTACTGGTTGAGCAAACCTTAAAAACAGTCAGAACACGTTCGTTACGCCATCCTATTATTAATTAAAGTTAGATTTAAAAAAAATACAGTTATTTTGTTCCAGACGGAATTATGAAAGAAACGATATTCGTTAAATTTCAAATCATACTCATATGTACTTGAATGTTGGCATGCAGCATATTCATACAGTATTTAAAAGAAATGTTGGTTTATTTTAATACTTACCACCCCAGATGCGACAAGTTCTCTCTGTGCAGTGGCTGCAGATTTCACCAACGCACTTGTTGCAGCAGCTATGGCTTTTGCAGCTTCTAAAATTTGCTCCTCAAACGCTAAAGACTCGTCAGCTTGCTAATGAAGGTGAAAAAAATACAAGTTAACAATCAACTACATAACCACCTTCTAACTCAATCATTCATTTATGCAGCAGCTACTTACTCTTGGTCTTTCTCGAGGCTTGAGTTCAGCCAACTTTCTGGCAGCGGCTTCTATGGCCGAGGCAGCACCCAACAATTCATTTTCTGCTATAACATTTGGATCCTCCGGATTCACCCAGTCAGAACCTAGCAAAAGATGAGCAGTTTGTTTACTCAACAACGACGACGACGACAACAACAACGACACGATAACAACGACAACAACAACGACACGATAACAACGACACAACAACAACGACACAACAACAACGACACAACAACAACAACAACAACGACGACCATAACAATAACAATAACACGACAACAACAACGGCACGACAACAACATGACAACAACGATAACAACAACGATAACAACAACGACACGACAACAACAACAACGACACGACAACGACAACAACTTCAACAACAACGACAACAACTTCAACAACAACAAACGATTTCTTCCCCTTACCTTTGAGTGCCTCAGCAGATTTCACCAAGGCTCCAAGACAATCAGCAACCTTTCGTGAGGCAGCAACCAGTCCTTGTTTCTTATCGTTTGTTGGTTTCTGTAAAACCTGGAGAAGAAAATAGTGATTTAGAAATGTGATCAACTAATACCTGATACAAGGCTTGAAATTTGCAGTATCCTGCTATCATCCATTGGGATAGTAAAAAAATTCTCTCCTTTACAGATTTTCTCTCAAAGAAAGAAGATTAATAATCATTTGAATTTAGCTTCAATGTTTTCACACTAGTACTGCTAACTAGAATTTCTACTATCCAAATGTGGATGCTAGTATCCCATTGGATGGTGTTGAATTTTCAAACACTGCCTGATACAAACCTATGTAATAATATCACTTACAATATGGACTTGAGCCAACATGGAATTAAAGGCTGTCCCACTTTCTCGTCCTGCTACAACCACAGCATTTCGGACTTCTGCACTCTCCGCCCGAGCTGCAGCGGCCTAGGAAAGTTCATGAATGTTTACATAAAAAATTATAATCCAACGTTACCTCATACTGTGACTGCTGGACAGCTCTTCTAAGAGTACTCGGAAAAACACTCAAGCTGTTTAGCAAAAGTAGAACCACTTATCTCATATTTAACTGAGGCAAAATTATAATCAACTCGAACGGTCTGTGCCAGCGATGGGAGTGATAATAGCACCAGAAAGCTGCCGAACATGAGAACATGGTCGCCAGCTATTTTGGTAAAAACTACCTTACGGTTTTCCAGCAGAAAGGGAGACCTCTGTATGTATTTATTCTGTGTCCTTACCTTACAAGTCGTCAACAATTCTGTGACAGCATTTCTTCCCATGTTTGCAGCGGCTGCAATCTCTTCCTGGTTGCCAGAGTTACCCGCAGCCACGACCTTTGCGGTTGCCAAAGTTACAGGTTTGGTACTTCGTATGAGATCTTCGGGTGTCGCTTCTCTTGCTGCCGTCGTTGGTGAGTTCAGAATCTGGGAAGAAATTCGTATATTAGATTGACCCTATCTTTACTTCTTGAAAATTCTATTAAATTCATACGACGGGTAATACAATACACGATCAAATTCCCATAAATTAAAGACGTTAAGATTGACATTTACGGCAGACCGCTAACAGCAAACTTAGTTTTACAGATTTTCGACAGCTAAGTGATTAATACCTGCCTCAATTTCAATGCATAAATTGCCCTAACAGCTAACAATTTACCTCAAAATACGATATGAAGTTTGCGGTTTGCGGTCTGCGTTTAAATCTTACTACACTATAGTTACGTGTTCACTCTAATTAAGTGTTTACTCTATAAATTACTGTTACTTAAGCCCTAATTAGGGTTTAACTCTAATTAACCTCTTATTAAACCGTCATTACGTTAAGCTGCAAATTAAGCTCTAATTAAACAGTAATTAGGTTAAGCTTTAATAAAACCCTAATATAACCGCTAACTGTAATTAATTCTCAATTACAGTATCTTGAAGACTTACAACAACAGCTTGTTTGATGGCATCCATGGAGGAGTCTAAAGCTCTTGCACCACGTGACGTTTTGTCTTCCACACTCTTGACTGTCATTAACAAAGATGAGACCTTGGAAATCATGTCCTATAATAACAAGATGGTACAATACAGTGATATACTGTAATAACAAGATGGTACAGTGATATAATAACAAGATGGTACAATACAGTACAATGTGTACACAAGATTGTCAACCTCGCTCTTTGCTCCCACCTCGCTGCAGGCTGGGAACGAAGTTGTCTTCATTGAATTATTTTCTAATGCAAACTCACATGATAAAAATGTCGCAATTAACCAACCTTGGTTGAATTTTTCAAGTCTTCTCCAGCGCCATCACCGTGTCTTCCTGACGAGTTCTTAGCGCTGTCAAGAAGATTATACAGACTGGACGCAACGTCTTTGACAGCGTTCAGCAACATCACCTAGACCAACACAGTGACAATGTTAAGGTTAACACAGAAACTTTTATAGTGTAAACCAGTCGATATGGCGCCTTGGTTACAAAGTCCCTACCTGTGCATTCGTATCATCAGCTCCGAGAGCCGCGGCTCCAAGTTTAACACAATCTGACAACTTGCTAATACTAGACACAGCAGATTGAGCTGCATTAGCCAGGACATCTTGGGAGGCCTGTGCCGCGGGAACAAGTGCCTTCGTGTCTTCCACCAAGGCTTTGGCATTCGTGAGAATTTCCTCCCTGTGGTCGGTGAATTTCTCGCCCTCTAGCTCCGGGTTCAAAGTTCCGGCAGTGGCAAACATCACTGTAGTGTCCAGGTCAGTCACGATTCCTTTGATGGTCGTGGCTGCGTTGATACAAGCCTGGGTACCACGAGAGCCAGATTGGAGCGCGGCAAGAATGTGAGATATCTAGATAACATCAAAAAATTGTTGTTTACTTGTTTGCTCAACTCATTATTGAGATTTCAACCATATTGACGCTGTCGTACCTTTTCAGCAACCTTTCGGGCAGCATCGGCTAGGTCTCGCATTGAGATCGGATCCCGAGGGTTCGCCTGAACATCGCCGCAATTTTGAACGAGTTTCATACAAGACGCTCCAAGAGCCTGGACACCAGTTCTCACTCTCTCCGCTACTTCAGGGCTCGATGCAGTCTGGATAGCTCCCTGGGCTTCTTGGGTAAGTCCGTTGTAAAGTCGAGTGACATCTTTACCCAATGGACCAAGTTGGCTGGGATCAGTTCCAGCCCGACCAACCTGTGGGGAAAAAAACAAAAGTTAGCCGCTGTTGATATTGAAACGGGCTGGACTGGGTAACTCAAGCAGTTCTAAACTGCTCTCCTTTGAGGTTCAGTGAAGGCCATTCTTTCTTGGTCCAAACCTGGGGTGTTTAATTTGGTAAATCGGACTGGAAGCAGTCTTCTCAATGCAACAGGAGCAAAATTATAATCAGACAATAGACAACTTGCATGTTAGACTAATTTTTGATCTAGGCAAAACAAAGTAAATTCCCGTAAAGAACTTATTGAAATTAGTAAAATTGCAAAATTTGGTTGCGAAATGTTGTCAAAAAATTTTTTTACGAAATGTTGTAAAAAAATTTTTTTACAACATTTCGCAACCAAATTTTGCAATTCTACTAATTTCATTATGTTATTTTTAACTGTGGTGTTTGATTCCCTTCTCTTTACTTAGATTAAAATTTAGTCTAACATGCAAGTTGTCCATTGTGTATTGCAGGAATTGAACTCAGTATTAACCACTATATACTATTCTGACGAATATCTTCAAGAGAACACTGGAACAATCCGTGCTCACACTGCTCACGTAGAAAGCGCACTGAGTTGCATATATAACTGGAGTGAGAACCTGAGTCCAAACAGTAAACCCAAAATGGCGGAAATTGAAGAGATATTGGACATCAGTTCCAGTCATTGAACTATAAATAAACTGGAAGGCTAACTCAGGGGGGGGGGGGATTGAAGCCAGTGCATTTTAGTTTTTCTGAGTTATGAGCAGAAATACTCAACACTGAACGTTGGGCTATATATCAAATTGAAGCTATTGAAAAACGCTATTTGGTGTAGAAATTTCAAGACTTTAGCTAAAAGGGAAATATTGAAAAACTACAAAAATAATTGCCGATAATTTGCCATTTTGCAGTTGTTTTTGTATTTTTTAAATATTTTTCTTTTCGCTGAAGTCTTGAAATTTCCACACCGAATAGCAATTTTCAATAGCTTCAATTTGATATATAGCCCAACGTTTGGGATCAAGTATTTCTGCTCATAACTCAGAAAAACTATTCTGGCTTCATCAAATCATAGGCCTTCATCATAGCAGTTAGCCATCCAATTTATTTATAGTTCAATGGTTTCAGTACGTCAATGACCGCCAATCTTGGTTTCACTTTTCTCATGGGCCAAATGACTGAAGCTTCGGCTATACATACATTTTATTCAGCTCACTCCCCTTCGGAGCTTTTCAGTGACCGATTACATCAAGTATTACGCTTACTTATGTTACTTACTTAGCCTAGACTATTTATCTTCACACCAATTGTGATATTACTTTCCTAACTGTGTTTATCCTAACCCACCCTGTCAACTTTCCCTGGGGGAGGAAACCGCATTTGGGGATGGTGCTTGATCGCTTACCATATCCTGTCCCTTGCGAGATAAATCTTTCATTGTCTTGGTCATTTTCTCTTGATAATGAACGAAAGGTTTCACATCGTCCGTTTCAGGTGGAGCTCCTTGTACCGCCTGCGAAGATCAAAAGTGAGCTTCAGTTTCCACACTAACATCCCCAAATTAAGAAAATCAATTGCGATGCTCAAACGAAGTTTCGCATCGCTTCATATTCGCTGAGTGAGTTGTTAGTCTGTGATTCTGTTAGTTTGTTAGTTTGTTGGAATCACAAGCCACACTGGACAGCCACACTGGACATCTACATTTGAGATCGCTGTATCTTACCATTTTCGCGCGGACATTAGGTTGCATCCACATGTTTGCTGTACTATGTTCGAACTATAAATAATTCATTATTGATAGGATTGATTAGAAATCATTGATTAATCATTAGTATAATTAGTAATTATTAGTATAATTAGTATCAGAGAATCAACAGCATGCATAATTACAATATGAATCAAATGGTTCAATCAGCAAAATCTATGTTAAAATATAAATTTTACTGTAATCTGATTAAGCTACACAATAATCGTAAGCCTACATGTACCTCATTCATAGCCTTACTAATAGACTCAACCAAACCAGTCACGGCTCCAGATTCACTTGCAGCTTCTTCTAAAGTATCCGTGAGATCTTTGACGGCATCTTGCATGTTCTTCGCAGCATCATCCACTATTGGGTGAGCGTTTGCACTCTGCATAAAATATAAGCAACGATAAATTGTTATACACTGCAATGAATGAAATGGAACTAACTTCATTTATACTGGATAGCTCTATGGATTCTGAACTGTTCTCCACAGAGTTCCAATGAAGGGAAACCCTTATCGATCCAGTGACACTACAGGAGAAAACCTAAACTAAACTACTGTAACTCTAGTTAAATCGGATAGCTCTAACACTTCTAAACTGTTCTTCGTAGAGGTTTAATGAAGGACGGATATTTCACTCAATATCCCTTATTGAGTGAAATAAAAGGAACTTTGTTTATACTGGATAGCTGTATCAGTGTAAAACTGTTCCATCTAGAGGTCCAGTAAGAGCCATCCCTCGTTGGTGCAGTGCTACTACAGGAAGAAACCGGAGAACCGGGAGTGTGTGTTACCTTTGGATTTCCACCGGCGTCCTTGACAGCATAAAGAAGTTCAGTCGCGGATTCTGCAACAGTTTTCGTTTGATCGAGGAGATCTGTCTGTTTCTGTGAGTGAGGCATCTTCGAAGCTGCGTTGATAGCTGCTTCCGCCACTGGTTCGATGAAGTTCGCGAGTTTAGCAACCTGTAAGGATGAACACAGAACATTACTACACACAGGTTCACTACAAACTGATGAACGAAAGTGCTTCGTGAAACCCACCTATGGTTGTGTAAAAACTAATGCGGGGGGGGGGGGGCCTTCAATACTTACACGATGACCAATACTTTCTGGTGTGTCCTTGGCAGCACTCGCGAGAGGATCGATCGCATCTCGGATTTGAGCGACACTCTGTAACATGCGATCTTGGAATTCCTATGGAATATACAGGACATTGAAGATTATTTTAGTTCCTTCCATATTGCAAATCTTACAGTAAGTAGATATATAGTTTAAAAAGATGAAAAGACAATGAAACTAAATGTTTGCATCGGAATGAACAGATCACAAACCTTTAATGTTCCCTCGGGGTTTTGTTCCAGGTTTTGACCAATGGCAGCTAAGGAGGCCTGATCAAGTTTGTTTATTGTACGGTTAATATTTTCTATGGCTTCGTCACATTCTCTTTGGCCTGGAGCACTGTCTCTGTAAAGAACAGAAAGCTTGTTAGTGGTGGTTATGATGGTGATGATGGTGATGATGGTGATGATGATGAT